TCTGATGATGGTTTTTCAAGAGGACGGCGGCGGTGGTGGGTGTCGCGCGTGTGTGCGTGCTCGTCGAGGAGAGTATAAAAACGATATCTTTTATATTATGTATGTATATAGACGACTTTTCGCGACGGGAAAAGGTCACCCTCACCTCCTATGCCGAACACGGCGTATACGTGAAAATCCTGCAACTCTGGAAAGGAGCGAGCGACAACGTCGTCGGCGGCCGGTGGATAAGGGTGAGAAATTAGGGACAAATGTATAATTAATGACTTTGGAACCAAACCGAAAGAGGTTGTTTGTTTTAATTTTTTGTTTTTCGTATTTTATTATATAACGTCTACAACCCACTCCCCGAATTCTCCTTCAAAGGTTTTATATTTTCTTTGGGGTGTTTTTTTTCGGCACTATATACCAGTAGGTGTGATTATTCCTTGGATAATCGTGTTCTCCTAGCTTCTTAAAAACACCATCCGCCGCCTCCATAACTGCTTTCATACAAACTCGACTCTCATTAATCGTCTTATGTGTGTTTAATGATGCCGCCCCCGCAGAGGAAAATTTACACTTGCTCGCTGCATGAAAGGCGTTCCACTGCAGTCACTTTTCTTGTGCGGTTAGGTAATTATTATTATTATATTTATCGGCTTCCCTGTACGTATAAAATCGAGTATTAACGCTATATTCTATGTGTATAATATATTTGAAATTGTGGGTACGTGTCTGCGATTTGCATTTGTCGTGTACACTAATTAATGAGGTGGAAAATGTTTTGTTGAGATTTCTCACAATTATCTGAATCTCAGAATTTTAAGTAATGCAAATAAAAAGTGATGTGAAACGTAAGTTTTTAAGAAATGAAGCTGTAAAAAGTTTAATTTCATATTTTTCTGTGGACGATTTTCGGGCAGAAGGATTTTCTAAATAATTTTTCTGATCTGCATGCACGCGAGTTATGAGTTTATAGTGGAGTTAAATCATTATAGTCCTAAAACCGATTTCATACAAACGATGCGAAGTTGCCATAATTGCCAATAATTCCACCATGCACGTGCTTACTATCATAATTTTTCGCTGATTAGCTCTGTCTCTCACTTAAATATTTCTGTACGTATATGCACAGCCAAGGGTCGTAAATATTCATTTTTGATGGGCTTCAAACTTTCACGAGTCCCATTATTTTTCCAGGAAATATTATTTAACTTTAAGAAAAAATGTGTAGTATCCAGATTTGTGTAAGTTAATTTAAGATATTTTTTCATACTTACAAAATTTAACGTTTTTCTAACAGTCTCAAAAAAATTAATGTCATTATGTCATTATGTATTAAATTGCGTACGCACATTAATAAAAATCTATTACTTCTAATTATATAGATGTTTTTGGTTATTAAAAATGCTAGGCAGATTGGTTTGGTTAAGTTGATTTTAATTTGATTTTTGTGCGCAAAAAATCTTATTTTTAATATCGTTTCAGCTAATGTACTTAAAAATCATATAAAATACAGATTTAATATGGTTATTCTTGCAATTTATATTTTCTGTGAACTGTGTTATTATAATTTATTATCTATGTTTAAAAAATATTAGTAAAATAATAAAAGAAAAGAACGTAAGGTCAAGTTAATTTACTTTTATTTGTTATTTTTAAATTTATTTTATAATATTATGAATCATTATTTATTTAACTAGTGTTCCGACTAAAAATCAAAGGGGTTTCGAGTAGCAATTTAAATCATACTTTTGAAAAATTAATTTTTTTAGACTTCTTGTTTAACAAATTTGACAATTTATTTTGTTTTATTTGAAGTATTTTTATACCTTATTATACCTACTATCATATATATTATTTTCCCAATAATTTTACTTTAAATGTTTTTCACACCTATGAACCTCGTATAATAGTATGTATGAGAAACTATTTCACTAATGTAAACATAGAAAACATTCGTTTTTACATCAATAATATTATACTTGAACACGATAAGATGAATTTGTAATGAATTCAATTTAAACGTTGTACACAAATCAAACGATTTAAAGTAGACGTAAAATGTTTATTGCAAATTCATATTATAAAGCATTGAACGAACGTGGAATTTGTTGTGTGGTTATACGAATTTGATAACGTTAAATCATAGAGGCTATTAAGAAAGTAATAAACAATAGTCGAAGGGCGTGTACATAATACATATTATGTGAACTAAAATGTATAATAGTTAATTTTTTCAGATTTATTTTGTTTGCATTATGCAGTACTTATGTTATAATATATTTTTCGCTCTGAATTGTTTTCACAATTGTTATTGCATTTTGATGATTTAATTATAACCTCAGTTCAGACGGTGTTCAGAGACCCTACTAGCCAAAACATTGTTATTGTCTATGGGGGTTTTTTTTTTTTAACCCGTGTGGGATTATTTTCACTGTCATTTTAACAAGCGTTATACTCGTAAATCCGGATTTGTACGTCTCTTTCTTCGCGTTAACTGGGACATTTGTATGCGGTATGAAGTTGTCACCACTTCCAATTGTCGACGCCATGCTGTGTTGTTATTCCACATAAATCCGTTTACACGTTTTATTATCGTGACGTCTAATACTACGAACGCATGCTTGACGTGACTGGATTACGCGATGAACTACCCGTGAGTCAGAATCGAATATTATTATTATTATTATTATTATTGCACCAATTGTTTGAATCGTCGAATCGATAAAAGCGAAATGACGGTGCATCCGGTTTTTACATTTCTAATTTTTTCCATAACAAAATAGGTGAACTACCTGGCAAATTTGTATTCGAACGAATCCGTGAAAAACAGTCGACATTTATTATTATATAGGTAGTCGTTTCGAATGGTTTTTGACGGCTGTTGTTTAGTTAAATAGTGTATCAAAAAAGAAAAATCATTAAAAAAATGTCGTCGACGTTATTTTATTTAAACCTCATATATGTCGTTTAGAATTTAATATATATTTTTTTATATCGAGAATCTATAATGTGTTTTACAGGGTGTAAAGTAGAATTCTTTCTTTTATATCTTTCTCGGGAAAATAGATAAAATTGTTATTAATAAAATGTTTTTTTCCATCTGGCTTCTCACATGTCACTGTCTATTCATGCATATTGTACTAAAAGGCTGATACCTAAATATACGCACTTTTTCTCTTCAACACCTTACCTATCTCATGTTTAGCACTAGAACATTTTAGAATTTAAATTCTCCTCCAAGTTACAATGCATACATTTTTGCGTGGAATGATCTGCATAAAATAATGAAAACGGTATTAAAATTATGTTAAAATATATAGTTGGACTTTTCTCCGCAAAATTTATCGTAATTAAAAAAAACAAAATAACAGAACGTTTTTATATATTTCTCAGGAATTAAAATGAAGCAATAAATGAGTTTTGTGCACAAATTATTCATTGAACAAGGCGCCCTGTTAAAACCCAAAGAAAAAAATATACAAACGGTTAACTCAACCGTAAATTATTTGAAACTATAAGTGACTACGAAAGTAGGTAGTACAATATATTATTTTCACATAATATTTTCTCTAACCAAAAAAAAACTAAACATTGTTTATACCTTACAGTTTTGTCATAATAACTTATTGATAACAATTTTATACCATTGAAATATTTAGTTATCCTATTTTATTTGTAAATCCCGAGCTGTACAGTGTTACTCGGAGGAGTTGTCGAACAGTAAATCCATAGAATATTTGAGAAAAGATCTTTAAACATTTTCCATAAGGACCTTGGAGTAGGGTCCAGTTACACGAAGGCGGAAAATGCAATAGAGCACTTCCGGTCATTATGCATTCTAAGGACGTACTAAGCTGCCGTTCGAAGAATGGCGTTCTTCTGTTTTCGAAACAATTTGAATTTCCACCGTGTCGTCGTTTTGAACAACTTTCGCGTAATAATTTCGACAAGGCAACAATAATTTGTTGTCGAGAAAAAAAAAATGAAATTAAGTAAATTCAGCTCTCTCCTGGGAACAACACGCCATCATAGTCGGTACTCGGTAGTGGAGACGGTGCACTGGCTACGCCGGTTGTGGGGGTCGCGGGGAAGGACGGGAGGGGGTGGGGGTGGGAGGGCGTTAGTGGCTGCAGGGCTGTAAATGAACACATTTCAAAAGTATTCCGACAAAACGTTCAAGTATAATAATTACCACGGGAAAAATAATTTGTATATCAAAAGTAGGCATTCCATTGTATTCGAAATCTTTTTGAATTTCTTTCTATCAGCTTTTTCTATTCGTTATCGCCCGTTGCTCTTTTTAGTTTTTTTTTTCAATATCACAACAAACGTTATTTCGATCGATGTTAATTATTATTGCGCCCATTGTTTGCTAATTGGAACGAAAACAATAAGCCAACTCGATTCCCTTCGGCACGGTATACGGCAACGCAGTAATATATAATTGACATTAGACAATATTTTCAATTCAAACAACGTAGTACCTATACCTGCAAGCTACAACTATACCGTAGTGTTCTAACTCGATTTTTCGTCACGTCGACGTCCTGCTATATCGTTCATAATATTTTTATTTCGTTATACCAAGTAGGTTTTTATTCTCAATCGTATAACATATCGCCAGTTTTAATAGATAAATCTTACGGATCAGAGAAATGTTACCGTGTTTCAAGGTAAATACCGCAGTACCGGAATTTATCGTCGTCGAAAAAGACGTGATCGGATTACTACCTAGCCGCTACTGGTAAAAAAATGTTTTCCGAACGAAATCATCTTTTCGTCAATATTCGGAATCTATAAAACTTATGTCGTATAACAAATGACTACCCACATCGTATTTGTTTTTACAGAGTATACATTTTTAATGGTAAGCTTAATTGAACTCGAAATGGACTTTGTTTGCAAAAATTATAAGGCACGTGTGTCGCACTAGCAGTCTACCTATGTTTATATATCGACTCTTATGCAGTGTATTTTTTTCCACCGAGATATAGAAAATAAAATAATTTTACCCGTCCATCAACATTTTTGTTCGATTTCTGACCCAATAGTTGATCGATTTGGGGTAGGATTCCACGTGACATTCGAGTGTCACGTCTGTGCCTATTGGCGCTCCCAGTAGTTGGTTGGGCACCGCAATTACCGGCGGAACTGAAAACAAAAAATATGAATAATTTATTATTGTATGTATAAAACACCATTGCTAATCAACTCCATTTATTACGTCATCGGTGAAAGATTAGTTTACGTTAATTATTAACGTGAAATATTACCGAAATGACAAATTAACAAAAATATATAACATTAATCATAATAATAATAAACAATATAATATCAAAATATATTAATATATTATTATATTTTGCTTGGCTTAAATCGTGTCAATGCGGGATTACGTCGTCAGACATCACGATTCATTAGATACGCCTGAGATAACACTAAAAACGAGTAAACGAAGGGTGCGAGCCGAAAACCTACCAAATTAAAAATAGCTATCGATGAGCTCCAGACATGTCTCGTGCAGCCTTGCGGCGCCGTATTCCCAAACCCGGAGTGCTTGCCACAATGCCACAGCTGCACGACGTGACAACTTACAGGTGTCTCGTCATCTATTCGTTTATAATTATATTGGTCTATGATTGCAAATTAATTATTATATTGTTATATTCAACGGGTTAGATGAAAAAAAAAAAAAAACTTCAAATAAAATAAGGCCTTTTTTTCATTGATATTCTAATAAAAATTTGTTAGTTATAAATTAAATATTTTATCAATTATTCTTCACATATAAAATATGAAGGTCTCATTTTCTGACTGTTTCGTTTTATCTTAAGACGAAACTTAAGGGGGGTTCAAAACCTGCCCGTGACGCGTCGTGTATCAAATAATCTTGATAAAATACTCTGATACCATATTGAATACATTGCTATTAATAGATGCGATTTCAGAGCCTTGTGTTTATTTTAAATTTTCGTTAATAATGTGAATACTTTTCATTTATTTCGTGCCGTCTAACGGTGTTGTTATACAAGTAACGTACAAGGGTGTAACGTGGATATGGCATCTAGGGTTTTGAAATCCAGAATCGTGGATTTAAATATTTTAACTATATGTATATTAAATGAATCGTGAATGGTGTAAAGGTGACAATATTTTTGAAAAAGGGTTGGCTTTTTTTTTTTCATCCACGAGTTGTACGTACGTCGCACGTGTGCAGTAAATTGACGACCACTATATACCATATTATTACTATTATTATTGTAAACGCACTATATAAGAACAATAATAATGTGGCGATTAAAGCTTATGGTACTGCAGCAGGCATCTGGAGTGTCGGGCTCGTCGTCGATTATCTCGTATAGTATAATAGTACGTAATAATATGCGTTCTCAAATAATATAATATAACGAGGATAAAAAAAATACCCTTCGTATATGCGAATAACACCGTATAACGATAATGTTAAATATTATATACTACTGCGTAATCGACTAGATTGTTACTATACGGTGGGCGGGCTTGTCCCCCCCCTCCTACCAACGATTTCGTCCCATAACATATTGCAGGGATTCTCAAACTTTTATAAACACTGTACCCCTTTTTATCAATACATTTTTTTGGGTACCCATTCTTATAGTTACTAAACTAAAATATATATAAAAAAATTTAAAGACTTACATACATTATTATTTCATTAAGAACGACGCAAGATTTTATATCCGAGCGTAGACGCGCCACGCGCATGACACCTAGCTTAACGTCGCGTTTTTATAATTATATAGGTATTCTACTGTCTCCTATTCTACTTGGTATAACGATAGCCACGCTTACTCAATCAATGACGAATGAAACAGTTAGATACGCCATTTTAATTTAAAATTCACAAATGTTACCTTGGATTTTAGAATTTTTTTCTCTATTTTAATTTAAAGGTTTGTTAGGCAGACTTGTACCCCTTAAAAAATTTTGAGTACCCCCAAGGGGTACGCGTACCACAGTTTGAGAATCCCTGACATATTGAATCACGTATACCGTGGTAGGTATATGTATTATATACACTTGTGTGTGTGTGTGAGGCGGATATTGAAAATCGAAATCCGGTCGGAGTTCTCGGAGTTCGACACTACATACACACCAACAACTACGCCTCGTGTAATGACAGATGACGGTGCGCGTGGCTTGCAGATTTCATAGTGGACTGGACTAATTTCACCGGAAGGCCCCTTGTGCTACAACAATCGAAATTATCAGCACATCCGGAAGTGCACATATTATATAATATATACCTCTATATATTTAACGTGCGCGACTACGGGCAAACGCGCTCTCGGCAGTTAGCAGCGAATTCAATTTCGGCCTGCCCGCTGCGGACTGGAGTGCGTTTTCGGGTTATACGTTTTTTTTTTTTTTTTTTACGTTTTTCCCTAGCGGGCTTTTATATTATTATTATTGTTGTTCACTGGCCGGTGATTGAAAACGCGCGTTACGTGCAGGTACGTGGCGATTACAAAATTAATGTAAAATCCAACAACGAAAACTTGAAAAATATACTTGAAAAGTATGAAATTATCACCGTCGCCGCCGTTGGCCGTTTTGAAAAAAAAAAATTGTTTGTATATTTGCGGATTAATCTAAAACACACGCTCGATGAAATCGCGTGGAAAAATATTATCTATAAAAACGATTACGTAAAACATTATAAATCATATTATAATCATTGTGTAATAACATAATAATATTATATTAAAAACAAAATACATTTTAGGTAATATATACATTTTAGAAAATAGTTATTACCACCCACCGGGCAGAGTGGGTAAACTAATGTTAAACTGGGATACATACATTTATTATTTTGAAAAAGTAATATTCTTTATTATTTGCATATTGCACATAAATATAAAAAATAAAATTATGTTACTCGGTCGTAAGAAATTGAAACCAAAATATTTTAATTTTGTATTTAAAATACAATTTTATATATTGGATTCGTGCATTGGGTATGGTATAATTATTATTATATAATATTATAGGTACAATATATAACTGTCGATCAAATTTTTATAATTATTTTACCTCGAAGCGAAAAAACTAACCAACTAAAAAAGTGAAACACATATTCTAATATTTTTTCACGCTCGTTCAATGCACAAATCAATGAAAATGTCGTTTTGGCTATTTAATTTTTCATTCAAATATAATTAATAATATTGGTAAGCCTGGATTTAATTTTGCAAATATAGGCAGTATATAAAGCTCAACAAAATTGATTTGTGATACCCAAATAATTGAAAAGTGGTTCGAATATGTTATTTTCATTTATAAATTATAAGCTTCTACATATTATAATATGTATTAGTTTTCTATTCTGAATAATTGGTATATAACATGCATTTACCCAGACCAGTGGCTTAATTCGGTCATGATTGTTTTTGAGGGAGTGGGACGGGGGTTGAAATATTTACCCCCCCCCCCCACTAAAAAAAAAATGTTGTTTTTTATCGTAGGTTTACTATTGTGATCTGTATAATGTAAGTACTTGTAAAAATGCATCATGAATAATTACATAATTTTAATAGAGTTATGTAGATTCGTGGAGTAATCTGCGTAGACGTGAAATACTCAAAATCACTTCAAAAGGTTATAACTTATAACTTTGAAACCAACCCGACCGTCCAATTCTGATTGGTACATTGTTCTTAACTCGATCAAATACGCATAGGTTTCCAGAAATCGCTTTGGAGCTAAACTGCACTGTTTATGCTGTATTTCAATATATTTGTGCAATAGTGAATAGTGTTTATTATACTTTGTAATATTATGCTATTTATGCGTACAGCTAGGGCGGGGGGTCAGGTTCGTACGTATTATTTCCATAAAATATAACTATAGTACTTAATACAGTAGTACCTATAAACAATAATATTTATAGTTAAATAAGTACTTATATTATATGGTGTTTGTCAGTTTTAAAAATAGTCATGGAGGACCCCCCCCCCCTCCCAAAAAAAAAAAAAATTATGACACTGAACCAAACTAAAATATAACAGAATTATTAACATTATTCGGTGAACATGCACACATAAAAATGTGAGGTTGTTCTAAGTTCTTTGTTAGTCAATTCCATACACATTTGAGCGTTAAATTTCGCTCAGGGCCTAAGGAGTGTTGATTTAACTACTTTGTGTAGTTAACAGTAATCATTAGTCTTAACGTTTATCTCCAGGTAGGACGACCAATCTAGTATAGTCAAAATAACTATTATTTTTAGTTTAAATTAACTTCATAAAAATTATAATTACAACTACATAGCTATTTGTTAACGCAACTATTTTATGGAGTTAAGAAACTACCGATTTGTTTGTTAAATGTGTAAAAAAAAAATGCAAAATATATTTACTGCGGGCTCGGTTTCGAACCGCATATAGTGGCATTAAAGTGGGAACCCTAACCTAAAGTATAACCTACGAAGCCCCTACCTAACAGTACTCATTATGGGAAAACGGTATTATTTAAATGGAGATCTAAGTACCTATTATTTGACTACTAAGGTAAGATTAACGGTTTTTTGTATATGAATTGCATCCCGATATCTGTTTATCGTTAGCAATAAGACAATAAGTTTATTGAGATTACATAAAAGACAAAATTATAATATACATATTGGTATTATTTTATTTTAATAATAGTAAATTGCCTCCCAAACAAGTTAAAACTATATCAGCTACGAAAGTACAAATGTACAATTTATTTATACTACCATAATAATAAAAATAGTAAGACAAAAAAATCTGCATTTTTCAGGCAACAATATTACATTTTTTATAATACTCGGGTGAATATTATTATTATTTTCGTAGTCAGTTCACTCAGTTGTATAAGATACGCGTCGCGGCGATAGAACACTGTGTCTGCCAATATTATATTATTTGATAAAATAACATCCTGACAGTAAAAATTTAATTTTGGTTTACCCTCACAAAATCAACTACATAACTAGTTACAACAACGTTCATAAATAATCATGATTATTTCAAATCGATTTTAGATTGGTCGCATCCGATCAGTAGTTAGATAAAATCGAAAAATATTATGAAGTCGGGTTCATGGCTGAGTCTATTAAATAGAGCAGTAGGGCATAATTCTGTGAT